TAAAATACTTCTTGTTTTCCTTCCTGGGATGTTCCACAACATTTCCAAGACGTAGGAAGGAATTTCACTGTCTTCAGGAAAAATGGCAAAATCAAGAAACTTTTCTCTGTAGTTATAGAGTTCGCCAGATCCCACACTTGGAAGCGCTCGGAAGCTTACTTCAATAGCAGCRAGRAGGTTCTTGTATGGATACGACTCCATCGGAAAACATGAACGGATCTCTTCCAAATCAGCTTCTTTGAGACCTTCCAAGCGATCTTGCCAGTCTGCGACACTGTCAAGTGAAGCATCGACAAGACTTGATCCAACCAACGCAAGAGCTAGAGGTAATCCATCACACTCTTCCAATATATCCTCTACTAACACACACACGTCTTCAGACAAAGAGCCCAAGTCCTTTTGAGCGCATTTCAGAAGCAATTCTCTTGCTTGCTTTTTTCCTAAAAGCCCGAGTCTATGAAGRTGAGAGCCTCGTAAACCTCTTACGACGTCTGAAACCCTGGTGGTAATGAGCAGTTGGCACGATCCTTCGAGAATATCCAAGGCATTGGCATGGTTCACGTCCCACACATCATCCAAGACGACCAGAGTGTCCATCTCGGAGCTTTTACTTCGAATCCAATTTTGCGCTGAAGCAACGTCGCTAAGAGCAACTGGTTGGCCTTCCCAAACWTTAGCTAAGGTATTCAGAAGCGATAAAATGTCGGGGGTTTGGCCGACTGTTAACCAGACCACTTGCCTTTGTTTCTTGATTTGCCAACAAACTGCTTGTGCAAGTACAGTCTTTCCAATACCTCCCATGCCTTTGATTCCGACTACTTCGCGTCCTCGTATTCCTGTTGAAGGGCGATTCTTTTTGGCGTCTACTACGCCAATTGATGTCTTACCGGAATTTAAAAGCTTGATTACTTCTTCGACGTCGTCTTGACGATGCACATAATCCGCAGGTAGATTACGYAGGCCATACGACTGTGGAACTGGATAAAAAAAATTTAAGTTTACATTAAATCATTATTATATAAAATATAAAATATATACAAAATATATTCGAACCTTGTTCTATAATCTAGTTGAATGACACAAAAACTGCATTAGAACTCACATTAGAGCATATTTAGTTATGAGATTTTTGAAAAGGTGTACAAATAAGTKTACATAGTGACAAACCTTTGGGCTTGGATCGAACAGAATCGAATCTATTCAGATTTTCCATCAAGTCTTTTCTGGGTATCTTCTCCAACAGCATCTTCAGTGCAGTCAAATCTTTTTCACTCAATTTTCCACGGTGTTCCAGAGTTTCAAAGAATTCCAATGCTGTAGTATTAGATTCACGAGTACCATCAGGAATRACATCAGCAAGGAGGAATTTCATAGCTTCCAAATTATCATCGTTAAGTTTTAAATCCAAATGGACAAGAAGCTGTCTGTAGGGGTTCACAAATAGTTTTTGGTCTGACAATGAAGAGTGGTAAAAGAATTTAAAGAATGCAATCGTAAAAAAGGTACACTGAGATTCAAAATCCCAATACAAACTTGTTCCTTGGAAAAATATCTCAGAATTCTTTCCCATAATAGACTTATAACTATTTTCATACACAACGCGGACTTTGGTTACAGCAAATAGGTATCAATAAACAAACTGTAGAAAGTGAAAGAATTTAACCTCAAACAAAAATAGTTGCGCAAAATAGAGGAATTTGCCAAATCTCTTTCTCCAGGCTAATCCATATGTTTAATATTCAAATCACTGAAAGTGAAAGGTTTAAACAGAAGGAAAGAAAACGATTTACTCACAAAATTTCTGCTGTTTTTACAGCAAGGATAACAACTTTAAACATGTAAAATAATTTTGATAWCTTGCGATATAAATATTCTAGAGTCGTATGACAGTGGACAACATTTTTCAGCATTTATTTTGAAAATATTTATTTGGCGGTTGACGAATTGTTGCAAATATTGAGGTATTTTTTCTTGCGTTGAATAACTGTTTCACTCTTCGTGCACGTGGATTAGATTTCCTTGACATGCAAATATTTATTCCTAGTCTATATTTTGGGTATTTTTCGCATGTGTTTGTTTAACAAAACTCTGAACGTACCCTAATTAAAGAACTTACCATTTGGACATTCCACGCAGCAGTCAAAAGCATTCAATTGAAAGTCTTTTCCGTTCACGATACCCAAAAGCCATTCTATAACTCTCTGTTCATCGCCATGTTTTACACAACACGATTGTTYGAGCTGAAGAAGTAATTCCAASTCCGACTTTACTTCAGAAGTCAGGACGTCTTTCAGAAGAAAACACACGCGTTTGAGATCTCTGTTTGTCAGGAGACCTAGGGGTACAAATCTCTTTGTTTTTGAGTCGTCTTTCAGGAATCTGTCATTAACTTTATCCAGAACACTACSGTTCGTCGACATCTTTACATTTCAAATGCGTGAATGACTCTAAATATATCTGTTTCTAGAATAAATGGTGTACGTTTGTCATCCAGTSAAGGTATTCCATTACTAATGACTAAGCAGTTTTAGTTTTCTTAGAAAGCAAGTTAATCATTATATCATCTCATTCTATTTTTGGGAATTTTCCCTAGAATACCGATTTTTACCAGGCGTTCCACTTCCTCACAGGGCAAGACTAGGAACTAACAAATKAGAATCCGCTGGACCTAAGAATCGTCGTCATCTATATTTAGTTAATTTTTCAAAATGCAGTCTTTRTTTAATAGATTATCAGTGCAAAGATATGGTATTAGTAATAACCTCCAACGAAGAAACCGGTGGTCAGGACCTAATTATTCCAAAGGTGTGCTTTTGATATCCTTGTCAGCTGTTCTTGGTGCATTAGGAGCGTCGGTGAGTCTGAATTATCTCTTTTTTTTAAAAGTGTACCTCAGATTTTTTGGGCAATGGTATTAAATACCCTATAATAAGCTTACTTGAAGTTGTTAATCGACAGGGAAATTTCCAAGGTCTGGCCCTTGGGGATCTATAATTCTAACCTTGAAGGATTTTCTCAACCTCTGTTCTGTTCAAATCAATAAAATATTTCAATCTTAATTTYAATTAATTCAGGGGCAGTTTTGGAGTTTTTATTCACCGGACATTGCAGTCTTTCAATGCAATGGTGTATTGCTGGTTTTTAATCATTCCTAGGGGAGTGAAATGACATGGTGGCCATGATGGATGATAATAACAGTGGTGGATCCAGGAGTGGTTCCATGGAAACCCCATTTTGTGAGATCTTGTGAAGCCAATCATGCTCCATAGGATGACATTGGATTCCCCCTTTTTGTGAAGCCAATCTTACCAGCTTAACAGTGCGGCAGCCATTTTGGAACCCATACTTTTTAAATTCCTTGATCTGCCAATGTAATATAACAAAAGAATTCATTGACAAGTCTTTTGTTAAATTCATCCAAGATGGTGGCTATGATATCATGTGCAAATGAAGAATAGGCATAGTTATAAACTATGGTACGCATAAAGAGCTAAGCTAAAAAGTCAGATATGTCAATAAAAGGTTATGCTTTTCTTTATACAGATGTTTAGGAAGTATTGGCAGATTGAGTATGAAATAGAGCCAAATTCAAGAACTTCAGCTGATAAAAAGTAGGATCCATCATCTTCGATGAAGAGGCAATGGTTGCAATTAAGATGGTTTAAAAAAAGAGACAAATTCCTGTTATGTACATAAATGGCAATGAACACCATTTGCTTTATGTTCACATGAGAAAGCTTCTTTGATGTAACCTAGGTGTAACAGTATTTGCAGAAGGAAGACGGACTCATGGTTAAGTCAGACAGTGAGACAGTTTCTGATCCTTTGTTGTTTAATGCTGTTAAATATATTACATTCTCATGTTTTTCCATATGGAAAAGAAAAAAAAGGATTTTTAAAGTATTGCAGAAAGTGTGTAAGAATGCACCGGGCATGTTGRTAGATTGCAAGAAAAAATTCTAACCTTTTGTTACAATAATTATATTTTGTTGTAGAAAATGTAAATTTTTCCAAAAATATCTTTCACAAAAGGGGATGGAAAATCTTTCTTAAGAATGAGTAATAATATCTTGTCATTAATAAATTTGTTAGGAAAAAGGGGGGATAGCCAAATTTTTATCAGAAAAATGGGGGGGGGGGATGCACAAATGTTGGATGAAGCTACAAGCCTTGCTTCAGTGGGATCATGTTTTTTGCATGACTTTAATAGAGGTGTTAAGAATTATTCTTGGCATTTCAAATTTTCACCTGCCCCCCCTCTGCCATAGATTATGAACGCAGCCTAATACCCCATGTTTTATTTACGTGTATGTCACGCAATCGCTACCTCCACTTTCCAAAGAATTTAGTACTTAAAATATTAAGATGGTTTTGTTTTCAGTTTTAAAGATAAAGAAACATCGGAAAAAGCCGGAAAATAAATGATAAATTTCAGCWATAATTCTTTATCGTAAGATTTTCCACATAATTAAATTCAACGTACAATAATATATTGCGTGACGTGTTTGTGTTATCACAGACAGAAGTAYTAGTAAGCCATTTCAATGTCGCGATGATTTCCATGAAAACATGGAAATGGCTTTCTTTCTTTTTCAAAGTATTTTTTTGGTATTTTAATATACTTGGTTTAGATTATAAATTTTAATTCGAAAACAATATATTTTTATTATAATGGTTGAGTTATTTGTAAAAACRTTCATTGACGACAAGTGTAAATAAAGGGGCGGAACTTAGACCAGGTTGATTGTCAGACTAGAGAATCGTGCAGTTCGACACGCACTCTGTTGTCGCCTTTTACACAAGAGGAAACAGTRAATATCGCCAAAAATAAGCCGCTTTACTTCCGTTTTTTGCACTTTAGATAAACTATGTCTCTTGGAGCAGCTACGAGACTTTCTTTGAATAACCTAACGAGGTTAATTTTGGCGAAAAACGCTCCCAGTCGCCTCACTACGAGGACAATCTTCTACACTCAACGGAAACGGCCATCAACTCCTGAAGAAAACTTTACCCTCGTGGTTGGTGTTGGAGCTCTGGCTTCTGCTATAGCCTTGGTACGTATTTGTATGTATTTATAGTATTTTAAAAATACGTCAAAAAGAGGGGGGAATGAAGAAGTAAACTGATCCAATCATTTCAACAATGTAGCCCTCGTTAACACAGTTTCGTTTTGAAGAACGAAATCGAGCGTAATTGACACATTTAAATATCTATCTTATAAGAAACATTATTAATCTACTTTAAGCTTATCAGAAATATCAATTATATATATATTAGTAAAACTGACATTTGGCACTCAGTTGTTTATTCGATTCCTAAACTTCGCGTTGCGTGTTTTCCAAGTGCGGTCTGACAACTTGGTCATTGATTGGCTGGTCGTTTTTTTTACCCTWGACAGTCGGCTTGATGCCAAGTGAACAGAACAACGCTCACAGTTTGTTTTGGTTTATAAATAGCTCCCTTGATCATTCTTCTGTGACCTAAGGTGCTTGAACTTGGAGCATGATTATAGTGCTTAGCAGGCTTGAGCAAATTAGATCGTCAATTGTTCGAAGGATTTGGTTTTGAGACAATTCTATCACCAAACCAAAACCAGGAAGTCAGAATTTGCTTCCTGTGTTGAGTTTATTCATTTCATTTTCATTCTCCAACAGAGTGTAAACTTTGGAGTTTATAAATTTGATTACTGTCGCGAGAAGAAATGAGCTAGTGTTCCATTCAGTGTAAGGTATGTATCCGCTTTGTGTTAAAATAGTTGCTACAAAAATTGCTTTGATGTCTGAGATCCTGGAAGATCCCTGATTACGCTCTGAAAAAGGCTGCAGAGTCTTTTGTTTTTCAAGTTCGGGGGAGGGAGTGTGTATCGCGTTACTCCTGCCCAAAAAATAGCAAACAAATCAGTTTCTTAAGGGTGCAATACCCCCCCAGCAAGTTACTTCATAAAGCTTCATCTTTACAACCATTTTGTTTTGTTTTGTTTTGTTTTGCAGGGACTCAACTTGGCGAGCTTCCAATCTCCACATGAGATCAAGACTACATGAGTGTGATAACTTTTTTTGTATAGTTAAATAAATTATTCGGAATATATTRTACATTGTTGAATTTGTGTAGTGTATTTCATTTTTCTAATCACTCTCCTTGGTGAAATTCTTTGCCATAAAGGAACTTTACAATGTTCACAGGATAGCCACGCCTAGGGGTGGTTATGAAGAAAATTGATGGGGCGTGGCCGCCTGTCCAGTGATTCTATCCGGCCATTCTACCAGACAGCTATCATACTGGCCACCTGATACTAGAATTTCGATTCCCGTTCACATGAAACATCAATTCGAGAGTCTGTATTAACGATAACAACTTGGAACTATAGATAAAGCAGGTTTTTCAGTTTGAAAATTAATTCAAACTTGGTTTGTTTGATTTCAATCAGCTTTGGGAGGCCGGAAAAACTTTTCATCACTTGCATCGCTGAGATATGTCAAGCCCCGATTACGCACGGTCAAATCATTGCATATTCATATTTTAATGTCCGCGGTTTCCGACAAAAATAATATATCCGAGTTTTCTGAGAATTCATATTATCTGTCACAAACTAAAGCCTCCGAATATAAAAGGGAAAGTAATACATTTACAAAACCTTTTATTTTCATTTTCATTTCTTTACTATGTAAATAGAATAACGACACTTAAAAGATTATTGTGTATCAACTATATTTATCTTGCTGTAAATAGATTTAATTTTTATGATATTTATGGTAGTTTAYGTCACGCAAGGTTGAAGTCATCAGGCTTTGTTCACGCGATGACAATTATAGCTATACTGCGTTAGTTCTGAGGACGTGAAAAAGCGCACGTTTCAATTGAATTACCTCTTTGTATGTCAAAGTAGGTCTCGAACTGCAGTCTACTTTCTGTTCCTTTTCCTTCTCGTTTTTACATCGCTCAAAAGCCGTGAACTTTCTCAAAAACAGTTCAAAAACAACAGTCAGAAACACCATTGTACAAGTGCAATGGCTCTACAAGCAACGACTCGAGTTGTGCGCTTGGCAATGAAAACAAGACCTGTTCTGAGTATTCCTGCTTGTCAGCGAACTGCAACTAGAAGTCTCTTCTACACACAGCGAAAACGACCTTCCACCACAGAAGAGAACATTATTTTTCTTACTGGAATTGGGTCCCTGGCTGCCATGATTGGCTTTGTATGTATGATATATATATTTATACATATTCCAGGCAGGGATTTGTGTGTGTGAGAATCTAGTTTCATATCATATAATACCATATTATAAGCGACAATTAAGTTACATCTAATTATTAATCGAACCACTGAAAGAGATTCTGCTCTCAATATATACCGAACAGAGCTGGTGTTTTATTTTCTGTGTTRATATTGATGTAGTTTCACCAAGTAAAAACCAATAGAATTAAAAAATATAAAACGACGACAAGAAAGAACAGGCTCTTGAATATAAATCATATGGAAAGAACTCAGACTTCCGCATTTTCCAAATAATTCACAACACGCCTAGGTGTCACGTGACGGGTGATCTGAACTGAAAGGCAGCGGTAMAAAATTAGGATGTAAATTAAAACCGCAGACACGGAGAATGAAATTTAAATACRAATTTAAGCATATAGTAGTAACTCAAAGGGGATGAGAATTATGCAATGGTGACAAGAAAAACTAAACCCTGCGCAAAATCTACGTTCTCCTCTCAGTTCTGCCCCTTCCCGTCAATTAATTAATAGCAGCAATAACAACAACAAAACAAAACAAAAATAAGTAAGAGAGRGACAGCAATTTGGAGGGTGGGGAGAATAATAAATTAGTTAATAATAAAAACAAAACATAACCATAAAAACGACAATAAACCCCCAAACACCCGAGTTTCAAATGACTGCAAAATTTAATATTTGTTTTACGCTATTTATTCAACAGGGTCTGAATTTAGGAGTTTTCAGCATCAAGTTTAACGTTAAAGATCCATGAAACAACGAAGTTGAAACTGAACAGTTTGCCATTCCRAAAAAATCCTGGGTAGAGTTGGCATTGCAGTGCATTGTGGGCTGTTTTAGGGGACATTGGCATCTATTTTGTTTCGATGCCTAAAACAGCCCCAAAATACACTGCGATGCCAGCTCAACCCACTCCACATCCCCCCTCTCCCCCACCCCTTCACCACTCAACCTAGGAATGGCCACTTGAAGAAAGAATATAGACGAATATAATGATTCAGTTATTTACAATTGTTGATGTAAAGACTAGTTTTGTACTTATTTAATGATGTTACATTTGTTAAAACAAGATATATGTTTGACATACAGATTTGTAATTATTTTAGATTAAGAGTAAAATTTCCCTATCATCATTGCGGTGGTTGGACACATATTTACGTAAATCTTGTGGTAAATAAATAGAAAAGTTTTGTTAAAGAAAAATATAAATAAATWAATGAAGACAACATATGACTGGTCTATAATAATTAGAATAATTAGTTTACCACACTAAAAATAAAGTGATTTTTCTCACTCTTTGCGACCAGTTACGGCCCGCCAGTTAACATTTGGGCTCCCTGTGTAAACGGCCAGCATCCTTCGCCAATCTACGCATGTCCGATTTTCCCCGGATTCTTTTTCACGTGGAAAAAAAAAAACTCTCCGTATTTTTACCAAACTAACCAAGATGTCTCTAGTTTCCTGCAGYCGATTTCTACGTCCTTCAATAGCAAGGCTAAGGCCTGCACTCTCTTTCCAAAGACACTGCAGATTGCGTAATTTCAGCAGTATTCATAGTAAAAATGATCAAGGGAAAGATAGTATGTTTGTAGTGATGGGTCTTGGGTTATTAGGAGCTACAACTGCAATTGTAAGTATTATGTAACCGGTAAAAGTCTTAAAAGATATTCTGTATTAAATAACTGGTATAATAAATAAGAAGAGATAACTAGCTAAAAACTAGTGTGAGCTGCGTCGGTGTTTCTAATGAAACAGTGATGATAAAAAGGTAAATTATACACCGTGAAAAGATGAAAAAACTTATTAAAAGTAAGTAGTAAGTTTTTTTATCTTTTCACGGTGTAAAATTTACCTTTTTATCATTACTGTATAATAGATAACTTAATTTAAGACTTTGGATCACTAAGGGCCACATGTTCCCCTCTTGAAATAAGTTTAAAGACTGAAATATTATTACTAGGTCTAATTTAAAGCTTTTATTATTTGGTTTGTAAGCTTAAGTTTACTTCATGTCAGTGGGTGGGAGCAGATAAAGCAATAATTCACCTCAGGCTAAGTGATTATCTGTGAATATTTACCTCACCTGCACTCAAAGATTTCTTGCTTTGTAAATAATCACTTTGCCTTCATTGAATAATTGTAAGTTGTTAATCAAGATCAAATAAAATAGATATTGATGATGTTAGTGTTGTAATTCCTTGTTGTTTTTATAGAGTTTATACTCAGGTCTCTACAACCCACGTCGACTTCCAAACCAAAAAGATGAAAAGGTATAATACTGTAACTATCGTATATAAAGTAAGAGAAAAGAATCCTTACATGCAATAGACCTCTTCAGCTCTGACGTAAAGTTTTTTCCCATTTCAGACCACATGTCATTCCCTAGATTATTATTTCTTTGTTTAAGGTTTGCACTCGGTTGCACATGAGAAGACACATGAATATGGATACTGCTCAAACAAAGAATCTTATTCTCAAGGGAATGACACATGGTCTGAAATGGGAAAACGTTACCCCAAGCCGAAGAGGTCTATTGTGTCTAGATGTAGCATCATGCAGTCAAAGACCAGTTTAGAGAGTATCTCTGGTGTACTTCAGCTTGGTTTCTTATACTAGAAATTTCTAACCTGTTACCCTGTAGCTGAGTTGGTAGAGCATTGGACTTCAATGTGTAAGGTCCTGGGTTCAAGACCCTGGCCAGACCAACACTCAGAGTATCAAAATAACCGAGGAGAAGGTGTTGCATCTTTGATTCGAATCCCAAGGAGCCCACAGTATATATTCATTTCCCTTTAGCTTTTGAGTGAGTTATTAATATATAATTTTTTTAAATTCTAGGTTGTAGTGACTGAAGATGCTGTAGAGAAAGAAGACAARGTAGCTGAAGAAGAGACAGACTCTGCTCCTGAAGTAGAAACAACTGGAACAGCAACAGAAAACAATGACGATACAGCATCAGTGGAAAAAAATGAAGGAAGTTCTCAGCTGTCATCATATGGTAAGACTAACAAAGTCATTGCATCAAATTGAGCTAAAGTCATTGCTACAATACTCCAGTTTCGAGTTTTCTGTTGCTCATTGTTACTCATTGACAGTCTGTGGAATTTCACAGTTTTTGTATTGTTGAAGTTGTGCATTCTTTACTTTACCAATGGTATTTGTGAATATTTAGACACTGATACGAGGCTAACCCTGAGTAAATGAGTCTGTAATCCACACAAATTGCACATATTCGAATAAATCTTGGAGTCCTGTGTAGTATATTATCCACAGGGAGCCCATAATATCTTACAATTTTTTCACTTTATAAGAATGTGAAATGCCACATTGATGAATGTTTCTAAAGTGCCTGGGTGAGCTCTATAATGAAATAAGAATTTTTTGCCGTCATTAGAAACTTTTTTTACCCTTCTGTTGCAGTGGAAGTAGAGCTGCCTCCTTTGCCTGAGATCCCTGAAAGTGTGCCCTACATTTTGGTTGGCGGAGGAACAGCTTCATTTGCAGCTTATCGAGCAATCAGKAAGGGTGATCCAAAAGCACAGGTAGAATAAGCAATGTACCTGACAATATGCTCAATGTTAAAGATTGGAAAATGCTTRAACCCAGCAAGTTAAATTGCCTATGACCCTTCTGACAATATTCTTGGTGTCGATCCTACATGGGGTGCAGTCGTTGAATGACCCCAAAAAATTCAGTTTGAGTGCGGCTTCTTGATGTTATAAAGGCTTTTCCATGCYGTTCATCCATTYRTTTTTTTATTCATTTCTTCGWCATRTGGCCAYTAYCRATACCTGTCWGTTCATTATTTTCATTTTTTATTTTAAGGTTTTGATAATTGGTGATGAAGAGCACCCTCCATATATGAGACCACCACTCTCCAAAGAATTCTGGTACAGTGACGATGACGAGGCTGTTGCTAAGTTACAATTCAAACAATGGAATGGCAAAGAAAGAAGGTACAGAGTACTTTACGCCTTATCATAACAACTTGTTTACACATGTTATTGCTATGTATGTAAATATAATCCCCACCACAAGTACAGCATTGGCACAGCTCAACAGGGTTGAACTGATGTTGCAATGGGAAGGCTAGGGGGCCTCTGGCCGGCAGCCACTATACAGTCCATGTATGACCCTGGAAAACAGCTCCACCAGTTTGAATATTTAAGATAAGGTTAAGTTTCAGAGGAGGGAGAAAAACCCAGAGAGAACAGAAWGAGAACCAACCAACTCAGCTCACATGTTAACATAACAGTGCTAAAAATTACCTTACTCAATGGCTGGACATCATGACTGGTTGCATCATACTAATCAACTTGTGACAAGTCAATGTGACCAGTCAAGAAGACTAGCTTAAGAGGCATTTAGCCAGACAGTCAATGTGACCAGTCAAGAAGACTAGCTTAAGAGGCATTTAGCCAGACAAGTGCCAGTTTTGGCCGGCCATTGTCCATTATTTTTTGCCTTGCTATAAACTACAATAAAAATTATCGAAACATGAAATACGCCAATTTTAGTATATGGTATTGAACTCTGAAATGAGTAACAATCATGACTTAACAATTATTAATGACTTTTGTGRTATTTTCTTTTCTTTCTTTCTTTTTTTGTTTTTGTCTTTAGCATATTATTTGAACCAGAATCTTCCTACTGTTCACCTCAAGAACTTCCAACCATGGAAAATGGTGGCGTGGCTTTTTTGAAACAGAAAAAGGTAAGAAGTTGAACATAATCTGCCATCAGSCAGACAGTGTACACTGTGTTATTACAAGCCATTCCAAAGAATCGTATATTCCTTGAKGAGGGTCGGAAGAACTGGTGAGGAAGGTTTGGGGCTCTAATATTACTTCCTATCTTTAGGAAGGTACATGTATAGAATAACATAGATRCTTTATTATCATATTAGTCCAAAAATGCGTAATATTGTTAATTTTGATTATGTTAAAAGGTTGTTGCAGTTAATCCAAAAGAAAAGAAAGTAACTCTCGAAGATGGAAAAGAAATAACATACGGAAAGCTACTTCTAGCAACTGGTATGTTATACTTCCTGCTTTGCGGTTCTCTTTTAGAGTGTGGACAATCATACTAACTTGGACAACTTGAACTTAGCCAATCAGGATAGAGCTACATCAGAATCTTATTGATCTAAACCAATGACAATCACTCATTCCCAGGGTTGCCGATAACATCTCGTTTTTTCCAGGCATATAATAAGATTGGTATGGGTTTCATTGCTTGCTTCTGATTGTTCAATTGACTCTATGTTGTGATTGGTTGACTTTGTTCAAGTGGTCCTGTCAGTATAATAATATCTACACAGTAATGCTTTTTGCAACTCCGCCCAATATTATACTGAATATATTTTCTCCCAACTAGCAGTCAATATTTCGTGGTATTGTCATCTCAAAATTGTAATTAGTTTTTTATCGTGATTCTAAAGAATTTAACACATAAAAAAGGAAAAAAAACCTGACCGATTTTYGTCGCGCGTTAGCCAATCAGAAACCTTAATTTTGAAACGACAATACCACGAAATATTGTCATCTCAAAAATATAAGAGACTATTTAGTGAATCGCGATACTAGTGTGAAGTTCTTACATATTAATCAAAATTTCCTATTCTTTATTATCCTCATTTTGTAGGTGGTGCTCCAAAAAATATTCCAGTCTTTGAAAACGCTAGCGAAGATATAAAGAACAAAGTTACCTTATTCAGAAAAGTATGTCAATGAATTTCTTCTTAAAAGCAGTATTTTTGTGAATTGAAGAGGGAAGAAGGATAAGATTGTTTTATAGCCATAATTAAGTCGTTATGAACAATAAACTGTGTCTTAATAAAATCTTAGTCCCCCTTGCATGTAATCCTAATCTTAATCCCTTAATCACTGAAGTTGTCTTTTCCTTTAAATTTTATAAGTTTCATTCATCATATTTATTTATTATTATTCTTAAAGATAATTGATTTCCAAGAACTGGAAAAGATAACCAAAAATGCCAAATCCGTTGTTATAGTTGGTGGAGGATTTTTAGGCAGTGAGTTGGCTTGTGCTCTTGGACATAAAGGTAAAACAACTTAGTAACGATCATCCTCAGTAACCCAGGGGTAAAATTCTGTCACTCATTTCTCGCTTCCAGAATTTTTTTTCTGGACATGAGAAACAAGTGACAAAATTTTAAACCTGGGTTACTGAGGATGAGCAATTGTTTATCCMAAATCCTTTGACTATTTTTTCCATGACAAGTCTCTCTTATCAAAATGTCTCAATAAATATTTCATAATTCAACAGCAAAGACGAGTGACATGGGTGTTACCCAGATATACCCAGAAAAAGGTATAGATTGTGTTTGTATTTTGTAATAAGAATATCACCTAACGTATCTGTGTTCTGCATTTAGTGCTAAATATGTTACTGAACCTTTTATTTCAGGAAACATGGCCAAAGTTTTGCCTAAATACTTGAGTGAGTGGACTACAAACAAAGTTCGAAATGGTAAGAAATTCAAGAGCCAACCTCAAATTCATAATCTCGTAGTTAAATTTTTTTTTTTCTGATTTCTTTTCATATCAATGATTACCCCATTCGCACCAATTAACCTTAGTTATTAAAATTAGTTATTAATTTATGTATTCTGCATTCTTCTTTGTTTGGCCGCCATTTTTAAACAAGATTGAAACCTCCCTGAGAAAGGTTTGAAACTGGTTTACTTAGCCGTGCATACGGTGTGAACAGTCACTGCTTAAACTAAACAACTTTTAAACATGTTTAAAGTTGTGGTGTGAAAGGGTATACCTGTATGTTTATTGTATTGYAGAAGGGGTATTTGTTGTACCAGAAGTGAAAATAAAGAACGTATCTTCAAAAGATGGACAGGTTGAACTGGCACTGGACAATGGAGATAAGGTAACAATTTCTTTGAACGTGAAAAAAGAACATAACATAAGTAAAACGCATATTTAGGGGAAACTAAGGTGACCTACAAATGGCTTTCCAGTTCCATGGGTTTCATWTTTTTGATTGGCGCACAATGGAAGCCATTTAACTGTCTTGATCAACACAAATGCTCTTTCAATTTAATGATGAATTTAAACTTCTGGAATTACGATAGCTCAACAATAAAATGATTTAAATAATTTTTTCCAGGTAGCTGCTGATCACGTGATAGTTGCTGTTGGACTGAGCCCCAACGTCGAACTTGCGAAGACCGCTGGCCTAGAAGTCGACAGGGAGCTTGGTGGATTCCACGTCAACTCAGAATTAGAAGCGCGTTCAAATATATGGGTGGTGAGTAATTCCTGGCTTTCATGGCTGCAATGTTAGATGAATATAACAAAAAAGAATTATTGGTGCTTTTTGTTGCTACGTCTTTTATAATCCCTTTTTCTAGGGAATGTTTGCAGGATAGATCGCTTTAGCTTGGGCGTAATATATTTTTTCATTTCGGACCACGTGTCCTTCTCTWAAGAATAAGATGCTTTGTTTGAGTTATATCTATATTAATTTGTCTTGTCATGCGCAATCTTTAAACAAAGAAATGATACTCTAGGGAATGACACATGTTCTGAATTGCCGGGGGAAAGATATCCACAATACAAAGCTAAAATGATCGATTGAAAGTTTGGAAATCYATTTGTGAATTCTGCTCTTACATTATGGATTTTTCTTATCTTAACAGGCTGGAGATGCCGCCTGCTTCTATGATCCAAATCTTGGACGTAGGAGGGTTGAGCATCACGATCATGCAGTGGTCAGCGGTAGGCTTGCCGGGGAGAACATGACAGGCGCGGGTAAACATTACTGGCATCAATCCATGTTCTGGTTAGTGTSTAATTTRTTTTACRTTGCTTGGAAWAACTTGTTTAGTCTGCAAACAGAGCTCATGTATAATGGTGTTCTTCAAGGAACGGTCGTGGGTCCTCTACTTTTTTTGTGGCAACTCACCATCTTGGAACTTATTTACTTATTTACTCACGTGGAACGTATTTACTCGGCCTACTATTGGAGTTTCTCAAGAGGCAGCTATCGGTCCACTAAGGTGATGAAAAATGTAGGTTTAGGCCTAAAAGTAGGATTCTTATCCATTGGTTAAGTTGAATCRGTTGGAGTTATACAAGGGGAAGTTAGTTTTTGATGGGTATTTGCGAAGATTTCTGAATTTTATCACGTTAATTCTTTAATCATTACAGGAGTGATTTAGGCCCAGAAGTGGGATACGAAGCCATTGGTTTAGTTGATTCTGGTCTGCCAACTGTAGGAGTCTGGGCRAAAGCTACAAAGGCAGACACACCCAAAGCTGTTGTAGAAGCTACTGGTGAAGGCGTCCGCTCAGAGACTGAAAAGGTAACTACAGTATTGAATCAGCGCACGGTAGACGAATAATAATAATGGTGCGAGAGAAGGTGAAAATAATAACCAATAGAGGTTTTGCACCATCCCGTGACGGCAGCCATGTTAGATGGCAGGAACATTACAATCGTTTTACATGAGAAAGAATTCAATTCTCAAGAGCAGAGAAATTTTATTGTTTTGCCAACTAACCACAGGCAGCCCAAGCTGTATTATGGGATGGTCACGTGATGGTGCAAAACCTCTATTYCAATTTTTGTTGTGAAATGTGATCGTCCGGGGGAGTGAAGTCTTGAGAAAGACTGTTGCTGGTGGTGAATGACGTTTCGAGAACCTGAGAAAACGAGAAAAGAAAAAAGCCAGCGACTAACAAACCTGTGGCTTCATTCCATCGTCAAATTAGAATTGAAAAGATTCTGTGGGAGGAAAACAAATGAATAAAAAATGTAAAATTATCTATTGTCAGGCTGCCGAAACACAAACAACACAAAAGAAATATAAAGAAGTGACAATCCCAAAAGCAGAACCAACAGAAAAGGAAAAAGAAGAGTTTACCAAAGGAGTGGTGTTCTACATGCAAGACAAGAAGGTTGTTGGTGTGGTCCTGTGGAATGTGTTCAATAAAATGTCAATCGCTAGAAAGGTAAGGAATTCAAGCACACTGTGTCAACAAAATAGCTATACATAATATGTTTTGTTTACAAATCGATAAATTTATAAATCAAGATATAAAGTAGCTTTCAGTATTTTTGCATACATTTTGCGCGGAAAACGCGTGTCTGTATATGAACGTGCGCTGGCGACGCTTTGTAACCAATCAGAATCAAGGAGAAAGCGCGCGAAAAATCACATTGATTTTTTTAGCTTTGTCTCGTGATTTCTTGTATCATTTTATTGTTTTTAATTTCAATGTCTTTTTTAAAGGTTATCAAAGAAGGAAAGGCCTGGGGTGATTTGAATGAGTTGGCAAAGTTATTCGACATCCATGGCAAGAATGAATAAAATGAGGTGAAAGATGTCTAGGTAAAATCTATTTAAAAAAACCCACAAATTTCAAAGAAATAATAATATTTTACAATAACGTCAGGAACAACTATCATATTGAAGTATTTTGAATTGGTTTGCCACTATCTTTATGGCGTTCAGTTTCCAAGCGTGTTTTTTTCTTTAATGTTTTGGAGTTTTTTGGTCTTTGACTTCAAATATCGATGAACTAAAATCTTCTGTACACTCACCCTCCATTCATAATGGCTGCAAGAAAAAGGAGCCAGTGTTTTCTCAAGCTCAGCTGCAGCAAAACGCTAGGTCAGAGTTGGTCGAAACGATCTTAAGTAGGGAGTGAAATATGGTGATTTTTGCGTATCTTACTGCAGTTTTCAATATTCTACAAACTCGGTAATTACAAGCTGCACGCTGAAATTTGGTTTTTCGCTGCCGTCAATCAAAAATAATCAGTCGGTACCCTTTATGATCTTGACTGGCGGCAGTGATAAACCAATKTCACAATAAGCCGTTAAAATGTCTGAGCTCGCAGAATATGGAAAATCGCGGTAAATTACCGYGAGAAAAGAAACCATTGCTTAGCAAAATGAAATGAAGTTGTATAAAGGTTTTTGACACTTCGTATTAAGCTACATGCTCATAGTTTGACAGACGATTAAAATTGTTGATTGAGGAGAGAATTCAATCCGTCTGCTGGTTAAATGTAGTTGATAGATAGAAAAAAGAGAGAGAAGTGAAGTYGTGGCATTTTGATTTTCCATGCCATGTAAATTATTTCGTATTAAAGAAACATGGTGAGCGAAGGTATGCTATGAAGGTATATTACTATTCTTAGTGTTATACGAGAAAAATCGAGATTAAAAGATCAAATGTTTTGAGATATGATTGTTGATAGTTGGGTATATATTAATTGGTGCTGCAAGCAGATGGGGCAGACGGATGGAGCATCATAGAATGRATCTTCAGTATTTTTTCAGAAAAATTAGCAACATTAGAAATAGAAACACTTTCTTTTAGCGATGCTACTAAGACCATTTCCTATTCGTCTTGAGCAACGAAATACTCGTGCAACTTATATTTCTTTTCTTTCTACCTATGCTTGCGCATAGCTMCTTGCTAGATCATTTTCCTTTTTATGTATTCCTATATATTCCTTTCATTTTATCTTATTTATCTTATTTTATTTGTTTTGCTGTGTTTCAAAGGCTTCACCTTATATAAGGTTGACTAAGGTGTTAGTCTTTCGCGGTGAAATTTGTTTTTTTTAAAACCTTAGTTTTCGAGTCTTCAGTCATCACAGAAAATCCGTTGTATTATAGAGATAGCATACATACAAGAAAAAGGATATCTAAGATAGGATAAAGGTGGATGACAAACGATGCAGGTGAATGAAACAATTCATCACACTTGCTGTTTCTCATTTTATCCTCGTCCAGTTTATGAGCATGCGCATGCGCAAGACTGGTGGCTAGGTATTTATCTTGACGCTTTTCGAGAATGACCTTTGTCTTAAGTGTCAGACACGAGTACAGTACAAAAAAAACACGAGCAGAGTATTATGTTAATCACAGATTCAAAAAGAATACACTAATAACGAACAGCCTGTCATTAAGAACATAAGGGCCTCTCATTTGAACCTCACAGTGCTATCTAATTATACACAAAAACATTTGCAAGACAAGGGAAAGAAATCCATACCGGAGACAAAATTCCATCGCACAAATGTCTAGCACAAGTTTTTTGGGCTATCTTAGCAGTCTCATAACGAGTGGAGACTTGAAATCACTTCATGGTCGCCTGGTAACTTTATTTGACGAAAGCTACCGCTACACATGTGAAGAAACAATGTCGATTTGTTGTGAGCTTCTTGAAGAGAACGCTCGTGTTCAAACAAAGTTGTTTCGCCTAATGTACCTCTGTAGTGAGGATGGTGGCCTGTACGGAGGGATTGAACCACTGAAGAAGAAGCTTCTGCCATGGCTGGGTTCTAGTGGGTTCCTGAGCAAAGATTCGCAGGAGGAAGTGAAGTTGGTGAGAGAAAGATATGAACGGACCGTGTCGAGGTTGGAGGAAGACCTGAAAGCAGCTCAAAGGGAGGCTGGTGAACTACGACTGAAGTAAGTATTTTTTTCTCTTGAATTTCAAAACATAACGGTTTATTCCATCATATCTATCTCCAGCCCTCATACTTCCAATCAGAAAGACCTTTGTTTCACTGCGTTAGACACTGATTTTTCTCATTAATTCTGATCCCAAGTAAGTTCTTTTGCATTTATATTTCARAGCAACCCCATATTTTTTCACTATGTCAAAGATGGTTTCTATGGACGCTTCTTGTCATATTAAAGCTCCGAAAAACAARCATCTTTCATCTCTGACTGCGCGTTGCCCAGAACGTCAATTTTCCATTTCCATATACATTTCGTTAATTTACATTGCACTGACACTTTTATTGCCTCGTACGAATTGATCTTTATATTGAATTCCCAGCCATTTATAAAGATATTTCTTTATGTCAATATCGAATATTAGGAGAATTATTATATATTTTGTGATGACAATGCAGCTGAATATAAAGATGTCAACTTCAGTTTTCCCTTYCTTTTCTAAATGAAACTTTACCTTCTTATGATGAAGATCCTATATAATTTCATCCAGATTGTCTGAAAGCGAACAAGATTTAAAGAGACTTACTATTAAAGTGACAGACAATGCGAAGAACGATCGCTTATATAGCGAGCTGGAAAAAAGGTATGAAGATGAGGAAATAAACTAGTTGTAATTCATGCCAAACCGTTTTCAAAATTCTGTAAAAAAGAGTGGTGCAAAAGTTGGTATTAATTGCGTAAAATTAGAAGAAGAATATTTAAGTAAAAGGATGACATTTGGATTAATATTTTAATTTATATCCTGTGATGCACAAACAAAATAAAGAATTTCAATAATACGATAAAGAAGAAGGCCTTTCTATTCATAAACACGATGGCTTTTGTTCTGTCAAAAKCCATCAAAAATCCAACTTCAGGACATTATCGTCTCAGATTTTCTTAGCTTAGACCTCTGATGTTATTTGTGATTTAATCTTTAAGCAAACAAAATAAATAACATGTCAGCGCTGTAAATTGTGACATTCCTGTACTTATTTTTCAACTACGATTCGTAATTCAGGTTAGCAAGTACAACTTTAGATTTGGCTGCGAAGGAAAACGAAATTCGACAAGTCAAAGATGAGACCGACCAGTTAAAACGCGAGAACTCCAATCTTTATTCGCGGTAAGTGGATAACGGACGGTGTGTTTTGACAGCTTAGACTTAAGAAAAGCATTGGTCTTAGATTGTGTTTGATTTGCGAGGGAGTTGAGTGGTTTCTTGTCAARGGCATTGTCTGTGCTGAGCTTAGCGTAACCAAGGGAGATTTGTTAATGGAACTTTTGAATTGTTTTGTGTGCTAATTAGCACCTGTGGCTAGAAATTACGCAGTGTGGGTTAGGAATTCAAAATGGTAAAATTAGAAAGGAGTATTCAAAGGAGTTTTTTCCTTTTGGGAAGTAAATGTGTCTGTCTGTTGCTCGGTGGTGATGACGTACACAGCTATTACTATCGTCTAACCCGTTCAAACAAATAAACAAAACTGACAAAACATTCAGGCAACTAACGTGCGAAACAAGAACSTGAAATTAAAGAGTGATAAAAACTAACAAGCAAACGAACGAAAACGAATGAACAAACAAGCAAACAAACAAGCAAACAAAGCGAAAGCAAAGCAAGGAAACGAACAAAGCAAGCAAACAAACAACAAAGAAGCAAATAGCAGGAACACGAAAGCAAACTTGCTCTTCTCGAGCTCACGAATGTCCCCCCTATATTTTCAGCTTACAGAAGCATATCTTAGATGCCGAACCAGAACCCATTCCTGTCATCACCAAGCCATTCACCGATGGCATTCTTCCACATGAACGTACCTTGAAGTTATTAGAGAGATTTGCAGAACTGTATGGCAGCGAACGCCTTGAAGTAATGGACGCTTTAMGAGGACTCGCAAATAGAGACACAAATGAGCGCTTGATCTTCTGTATCATAGAGGTAAGTGAAGGACTTTCTTCGTGTTTGTGCAACCTCTTTATCAATAACTTTTGTCCAAATTTTTATCGTTAGAGCTCGCATTTACCCCTAAATGTTTATGGACAAACTCTTTTAGCTTGCATATTTGTGAGGTTTGTTATCGCATGGCATGAGCAAACGAATGACTAACATTTTCTGGCTGTATATAGGAATGTTTTATGGTGTGCAAGTCAGAACAGCGTCGAATGCGCAAGAAAGTGCAGCAAGCACTGCAACCGACACATGGCAGTCTAATGRACACTCAGCAAACCAATGATATTATCGAAAGCTACATGTTGAGGAATGGAGACAACTACGATGTGGAAACATTGATTCCGGTAAGTTCCTTCCTTTCTCTGCTTGCTCCACACTTCCTATTTTATTTTCGCTTTCTTTCTTGCTCTCTGATTCCTTGCTTCCTTATTTCTTTGTTTCCTTTCTTCTCTCCTTCCTTATTTCTTTGCTTCCTTTCTTCTTTCCTTCCTCTCTTCTTTCCTTCCTTTCTTCCCTCCCCCTCCTTGCTTGCTTTCTCCTGCTTGCTAGTTCTTTCAGTTCCTCCTCGCTAGCTTTTATCCTTCCTTTCTATGCCAGCTTTGGATATAAAATACCTTAAATTGCACAAAATTACAAACATAATTGCAGGAAGTCATCAAATGTCTTCATCGCAACCCTTCTATCAACCAACATATCCCGTACAACGAGAAGCTATACGTGCCATTCCTACGCCAATGTCTTCGTGTCGTGTGGTCCTTGACTTCTCTAAAGCCTCCAGTAGACATTGCGATTGCACTCGAAGGAGACATGATAAACGAGATGCGATACAGACGAGCGTATAACTCCGAGTTCAGCGCCACATCAGTTCATCACTTCGTGTGGCCAGCTCTGATGAGAGAATCAAAGGTTGTTGCAAAAGGAGAAGTGGTGACGAGAAGAATAAAGGCCATCAAGTCAAGAAAGGTAGGCTTCCCTGGCTCTTTAACATGGGCCATGTATGAGGATGGAGGGGGGTGGGGGAATTGCAACACTGATTTTTACACATATAGATGAACCCCACTCATGACATTTCGTACTCCCCAGGAATCGCCAAGTAACTCACGCCCTCAGAGTGCCGAGCCATTGTCTAGTACATTGAGCTACGACCTTGGGATTGGTTCCTTATCATCATCTTGGAGTGGTAAGAAAATTTGATTATACCTTCTTTATTGTGAAAGATGGCCATTCTTGCTTCCAATTAAAATCCCAAGTGTTTTAGAATATTACAAAGGAAGTGCCCAWTGCTACTGTAACACTGGATACCGATTTATCTTACAGAAACGTCTGCCTATAAGCGTTACTCTCCTTAGAAGATTACAGAGAAGACAAACAAACCTTCAGTCTGTCATCCTTCCACAATGCTGAAGTGTTAAACACATATACATACATATACAGAAACAGTCACCTGTTAGTTTTTRTTTACCAGGATTTCATTGTGTGGATAAAAATAAAGCTTCACCTTTATGTGGCAATAATCATCTAAATGTTACCATCCATTCAATTAATGCTAATTACTGCAATTTTCATAAACATGCAAACTCTGTGTCTCCGACTTGCACRCTGAATTTTTTTTGCTGCCACCAGTCAAAAGTATGAAAGGTACCGACTGATAGGGTTTGATAGACGGCAGGAAAAAAACAAATATTTCAGAGTGCAGCTTGCAGACATAGAGTTTACATGTTTATGAAAATTGGCGTTAGGTCGTACWCGCATGCCATCCATTGCCCATAATTTTGGTACTATGCAATTATCTTCGATTGGCTTATTAAATGATGAGAATTTTTTTATTAAATAATGAAAATTTTTGGGATACTTACTATTACTTACTATTACTTACTTATTATTATTATTATTTTTTTAATTTTAAAAAAGCTTTAATAGGTATTTATTTATCAAAACCTTTGATATTTTTGTACATATTCAAAAGTTTAAGTTAGATAATTTGAAACTTCAATCAAATTTCCATCTGGGTCCCTAAAATAGATGGACAATATTGGTCCTGTTGCTCCTGTTCTTTTGACTGGCCCTTCTTCAACAGCAACCCCACAGCTTTTAACATGTTTCTGTACTTCAACTATAGGTGTTGAAGTAATGAGACAGATATCTATAGCACCAGGTGTTGGTTTTCTTGCTTTTGGTTCAAATTCTTTGCCTTTTTGATGCAAGTTGAATTTCTGGTTTCCAAARGCAAGTGCGCTTCTACCCAAGCCAAAAGATATTTCTTCCATTCCGAGCAACTTGCTGTAGAATTGCACTGTTTCTGGGATGCTTTGCACCGTTAGCACAAGATGATCCATGTGAGATATCTTAAAAGGGCAAGATGTTTCTTTCCTTTCACCCATGAAAAGCTTTCTGTAAGATTAGAAAAATTACAAATATGCAAGTCATTAGCTCTAAGACAAATTGGTTGTAGTTTAATATTTGTTTTTGTTCATACTCTCTAGAAAGAAATGCAAACTTTGTCTMTATATTAATGCATAACCATACAATAGGATTATTAATACATTAATGGAAAAACTATATATATATACACACATTAGAAATGCACTGGAATAATTAATGAGGTGAAATTGAGGACAACAGTTACTGTAATATACACATACATGCATATTATATGCATACGCATATATACACTCGAAACCATATATATATATATATATATTCATGCATAGACCTAACAATAAAAGGTATATAAACTATGAAAGAATAATCAAAGTAGAATAGAATCTCAATATTGTCAAGGACAACTATGATAATTTTATTTTCCAACAAAAATGTCTTAAGATTGGGTTACCTGTGGTTTAATGTGATTCTTGATATTCCAACCGCATAAACTTTGAAGCAATTTTTAAACATTACCTTGTTTGAAATCAGATTCTAGACGTGTCTCTTTATAACAGCATTTTTGAAGAGAGAAAAAAAAACTTCTTCAAAACCAAGCAAAGAAAATCCAAAATGAGCCAACAATTTCAATGATCGGCGGAATATCAAAACAGTACATGCGCACTAAACTTGACCCAGTYCTCCTCTTTTTTAGAGACGCCATTTTGTTTTACCATCAAGTTGTAAAAATTCGAATATACTTTGAAAATATATATTTAAAATCCTTAAACGAAGCAAGCATCGACCAAAGAAGAAATATCTTATCATGGAAGGTGTTATTGATAATATTATGTTGGTGTTATTGGTGTTAATCATTCAAATCAGCTTTATTTCGGCGGAGGAACGAGTTGAACGATATAAAATTGAAGGCAAAGTTACCATTCAAGGATATAAAAACTCGGGTAAGTTTTACCAAGATTTTAACAKTTWYATTCAATAAARATCCTTTGATATAAGTTATARATTARATAAATATCACATAAATCTATSAATTGAACCCTGWTACTATGYTGCGCACATATCCTGAAAGAATATRTTGTTTTCCTGTAGTTCAGCTACAGTATTTTTGTAAAGTAAGCCTTTGTCTTAAACTTTATCAAGCTCAAGTGACCCTTTGTTATAAAGGTTCACTTCTACAATTGATTTCCAAGACTCCTCTTTTTTCTGTTAAACTATGCCTAAGGTTTATCAGAGTGGCTTTCTATTGAAAGAAGCTTGTTTTACAATAATTTCAATCTGCATAATGATGACTTAGCACAAAACAGTTCAGTGACAACTTTCTAAAAAATCATAACTGGGCCTCAAATCTAGCATTGGGATAGTCTAAGGCCTAGGGCAAACGTCAAACTTTCCATGCACCGAACTTAATTACATCAGAGAATGACGCCTCATTATCACCTGATATCCATTGTTTTTAATGAGTTCGGTACATGGAAAGTTCGACGTTTGCCCTAGGCCTTATTTTAATAACAGAAACTGAAAATGGACATGTGAAGATACTAAACGATTTGATGAATTTTATACACCAATCATACATTATCTCTGACTTTGCCCTTACTTACAATACACTACTACCTCTCAGCATAGAAACCTAGGCCCTGATTCATTATTATTAATGGTYGATTGTTCACGTATCTGCTTCTAGTTATATTTTGATTACTTCCTTATTGGCCCAACTCTTACACCTGGTACAAACCTATCATCACTGTTTGGCATTCAATTGATGATTTGCTCTTCTAAGTCATCAGTATAGAAACCTAGGCCCTGATTCATTATTATTAATGGAGCATTGTTCACTTATCTGCTTCTAGTTATATTTTGATTACTTCCTTATTGGCCCAACTCTTACACCTGGTACAAACCTATCATCATTTTTTGGCATTCAATTGATGATTTCCTCTTCTTAAGTCATCACTTAGACCTTAATTTTTGCTTTTGTACTGTATTTCCACTTCTAAACTGAGTGAGAATCATGTCGTTTTTTCCTTATTGTTCCCTAACATCACATCTGCAAAGTTCATTATCCAATGCTTCTGCTCCCTGTTATCATCTTGAAGCTTATTTTTTGCTATTGCTGTTATTTTACTGTTAGACTGGGTATCAGAAACAAAAGTCCTAGTAGACGGTGGTCTATATATTGGTTTCTTACGGCATGACGGTGGCTTTACTATAAGAGATGTACCAGCTGGTTCATACATAGTGGAAGCTGTGTCACCTAATTATATGTTTGAACCAGTAAGAGTGGATATAAGTGGGCGAGCCAAGGGTAAAAGCAGAGCTCGTAAAGTGAACTTTTTACAGAACTCTGCTGTAGAACAAGTAGCTTATCCCTTGAAGTTCAAGGCCAAGGCTCCGGCACCTTTCTTTGAGAAAAGAGAAAAATGGAATATTAAAGATATGTTATTCAACCCTATGGTAAGTAAATGTAGCTTTTATCTACCTTTCCAACACTTTTATTATCTAGTGACCCATACTTGCCTAGCTCGTGTCATTCCATTTATTTTGTAATAGGTAGGTGTTGGTGTTTCTTGAGTACACTTGTATTGTAAAGTGTACGTATTGTCTTATTCCATAATTATGTTCCTTCTCTCCCTGAGGATGACAGCATCAGTTCTAGTTTAGTTGTTTTCAGTATCATTGTCCATACTCTTATGAGTGATGGCTGGTAGCCAATAGAAAAAGAATGGTAGCAAATTTTAAAAAATGTTTGCTCCACATATATTTCTTTCATATGCCTACATCAATGTAAAATTCCAGTTTCCCTCCATGAAAGTTATGGATATTTTCACAACTATACAGTCTTATCTATGTATAATAAGCTTTGGTTTTGAAATCTTTGTTGTTCATTAATAAACAAAGAGACCTTATTGATAAGCCTGATACTAATGCCACATTGTTATATCCAGATAATTATGATGGTGCTGCCACTAGTGTTGCTGCTTATTTTGCCCCGGCTTATTTCTTCTGCGGATCCAGAAACACAGAAAGTAAGTACACTTCATTCTAAAGCTTAATTTATATTTCTATAAACTAGACTACAACAAGGTACAGTATTTCTTGGGACCTTGGCTTTAAAATCTTCACTTGTCTCTTCATCAAAAATCACAACAGATCAATCATCAGTATACCATCATCAATTTAAAAATTGTTAAAGTATGGAAAGGTACAATGCATATGGAAATGGTACTCTTAAAATATACATGTGATTGATTAAGATGTCGCAATTGACATTATATACAGTAGCAATGAAAGCAGTGGTTAATGTAGTAACCATCCGGCATCGCATATTATGTCAAAGTGTGATAATTACTAGTGATTCTGAAATATAATATTTTGCTCCTAAAAGTATTTCTTTTCTGCTTCATAGGAAATGCAGTCTTCAATGAACATGTTTAACCAGTCCAAGGACTTACCTGACATATCAGACTGGTTTGCTAAAAACTTATCTGGTTTCACCAAGAAGAAACCAACCTCTAAGACCCCTGCTAAGAAGGCCCTACCTGGTAGAAGGCGGTAGGGGAAAATATTCTGCCAATGCTACAGTGTAAATCAAGACAGTGTGTTCTTCAGTGTTCTTCCRGAAATTTATATCACAATAGAAGAAATCCATATAATTTTGATTTTAGAACGACTCGCAATAACAAGAAAATAGGCCAATGTAATACTGTCATGATATTTTGCAAACCAATTTTGTTTAGGACAAATCAATTTAATACAGGAAAATGGTATTCCCTGAACCCTTAGCCTACCTACTGCCTYCTTCAGGCCCCATTTATCTTCAGTTTGGTGGACAAAGCCACAACGCTGCCCTCTTATATGACAGTTGAAGACCGTTCTTTTCTAAGAGTATTTTATTTCTTTGCACTTAATGCCATTTTGAGGTAAATTGGGAATTGAGTGGGGGGGGGGGTCAATATCTTGATGCCTTTATCACTATACAGTACCACTGTTATTTAGAGAATCAATCAGAATACATACATTCACCAAAGTAATTGTAAAGACTGGCAATACTTTTGCTTGTATGTTCTCAGTTTTATTCACTTGTGAARAACTGAAAACTGTTAGCAAACAATTATGATGATATATAATATTAGTGTACAGTTTTTAGCATCCATTTCTTTTGTCGTTATAAAACTTATACTTTCTCCTGGAGAAGCTTTAATGCCGTTATAAAATTCTGGTTTATTCAATAAAAGAAATCTCCCACATTGTTTTTAACCTGTAAAGTTTGCAGTAAATTTTAAATCTTTTCTTCAGGCTTCGTAATTCTTACCTTCAAAACAAATTGAGGTCCCAATATCTTACTCTGTGGCTCCCCCTTTTTCCTTTGTCTTCTTGGCCCTTAAGGAGGTAATAAACCCGCACYCCTTCCTCGCAAAAGGATTTTTCAAGATCGATCTGTCACAATTTAATGGTTGGGATCGAAAAGAAACAAACAATATTGGTCCCAATATCTTACCTGTGGCATCCCTTTCTTTTCATTCTATTGGCCCATAATGGGCCGTTAAACCCCTTCTTCAAAGAATGATTTTGATCAACATGATTGAAGCCAATTACATTTACAGTACATTTAACGTGTAGTTATTGATCAACTTGGTTTGTAGCAGGGTTTACTCCTGGATGAAGCCGATGCAGTGGCTGCCAATTCGTCATCTGAATCCTCATCCGAGCTCACCTCATCATGCAGGTTATCGAAACGATTAATGAATTCTTCCTCCTCCGGTGGCTCTTCCTCTTCCTCCTCATCTTCTTCCTTCTTCGGTGAGAAAAGCTCGTTTTTAATCAACTTCCAAGTTAAACGATTCTCCGATTTGTTTTTTAACCATTTTGGTAGCTTAAATGTCGGTTCTTCTGATTCTTTCTTCATTATGTACACAAATTCTGCCACGACTTCCATGAGGAAAGCCGTCTGGTCACTTTCTACCTCGATCCATTCAAACCTCATCTCGTCTGTAAAGAAAATCTCAAAATGGACGCTGTTTCCTTGTACTTGGGACCAGCGACGAATTTTCCTCCAAGGAGCGAAGAATACCAATTTTTCTATGTATATGAAAAGATAAAAATGAATAAGACAGCTAATCTGTGCCAYCCATCCACCCCATTCCATCGATCCACCCACCAACCCATACTTTCATTCTTATCCCGTCCATCCAACCGGTTGGCTCAGTTGGCTGAGCATCGGACATTCGTGCGGGAGGTTGTGGTTCGAGTTCCGGCCGGACCAACACTCAGGGTCTTAAATAACTGAGGAGGAAGTGCTGCCTTTGTAATTACATCTGCAAATGGTTAGACTTTCAAGTGGCTTGGATGACCACTTTAAATAGCGGTCCCGTCTCTCCACACTCATCATTACTAACCAACCGACATCGGAGGGACGTAAAAGATCCACTGAGGACGTAAAGAAACCCTGGCAGTGACCACCCTCAGTGCCTACACTTCATACTAACCATCTCTCATGCTTGTAAATTGCATAAAAGCAATCTGTCATTCACAACTCAATGTAAAGCGCCTTTGATTATATCCACATAGAAAAGGCGCTATATAAATCATAAATCATCATCTATMCATCCAGCTATCTAGATTATTTTACTGATATTGAAATTAGTAAGCGATGTACCTGTTTTGAATATGAGACCCTTTGGGTTTGCAATGAGGGTCAAACTGGACCCCTCTCTCAGTTTAAGCTCCTTAACAGATAAATCGTTCTGTACCGTGCAGTTGGTAAAATGCACCGACGCATACCCATACAACGTCTGGCACTTCTCAACAAACTGCTTCTCACAAGGAAACTGTGGGTTTAAATATTCCTGGAGTACTGGAATATCTTCGGGTTTTGGTTTAATCCGCCCAGCCTTGATATCARCTTTGCACTGCAAGGCAAACAGACGATTCGCACCAGCGTCTGTCTTTAGGAGCTTTTTCTCCCTAGCAACATCAAAGGACCATCTCTGTATCGAGATTATGTCTTTACAAGGTAAATAAATCATCTCGTTGTTGCCGTATTTTCGTAGCGGACGTTCGATTCCTTTGAAAAGACTAAAAAACTGAAGGCTGCATTCGAATATTCCTAAAGTTTTCGCCGCTATTCGGATCAAATTATCTGCTCTTATCTTTCCTTCTTCGACTAGTACTCTTACGGCTGGCGTAGAACCCTCGGGGAATGTCCAAACACAGATATGTCGCTTAGCTGGGACGGATTTTGTCACTACTGCCATCGCACTCCTTTTCTGATTCCACTGAGGCAAAATAAATCTTCGAAACTTGAAATCAATTTACTTGTGGAGAAGATTTGCAAGATTAGCCTTATATAATATGTGTCGTTAAGAATACTTYACTTTGATTGCTTTAACTATGGTTATAGTAATTAAGGCACCTGCTTGTTGTATTCTTTGGGTCTCAAAGTTTCTTGGGATTCGGACAGYTTTATTGGTTAAATATGTGATAATATACTTCTCAACTTGCTTTTATCGTCTTATCACAAAGAAATAGCCGTCCTATCGCAGCAGATCTAGATCTAGACACCTTGCATGTGGTCAAACTCTTTTTTTGACCAAAGGGATGGTAATTATACAACATTGTGTAGGATCTATGCTTTCATTACTTCTGTTTCATAACTTTTATCGTTTCTAACCGGGAGGGAATCACTTTATGGAATACTGAAATGTAGTCTTTTGGTCATGGGGGATGAGAAACTCCTTTCATTTTTTTAGGTTGTTTTCTCGGCCTCCATTGGTACAAATTAACCTTAACAGTGGCTTTGATTAAGTTAAATGTACAGACCAAACAGTTGCAGTGTGTTTTCTGAACTGTTTTAGTTAATTAATAAACAGACAAACCTCTACGCGTATCGCCTTTGTTGTTATGACAACAGGACTAAGAACACAATGACGTAACTTCAAGCATTTGAATGAAAATTAATGATCAGAGTTGAAAATCTCCTGTTCTCTTTTTCTCATTAGACACTCCGAGGTTGAGGAAAAAACTGGGTCGAGTTGGCACTGCAGTGCATTTTGGGGCTGTTTTACGGGACGAAATCGCCGCCATCTTGGAAATATGTCTCTGGCAGAAACGAGTGGAGTTGGGTGCTTATTTTTTACCCGGGGACTGGGCAGTACTTTTGGGTAAACAGTGGTTACAGTGACATGTAAACAGAAAACATGACAAGATTTAGCGAAAAAATGCTGAGAAAGTCAGAAGCAAATGGAAGAAAAGCTCTTGTCAGTAAATTTTTTATGGCAGTTTTTTATACCAGGAAAGCACAGCTTCACTATAATGCCTATCGAACCTAAGCCGCGACAAGAAATTAGTTTTTTTTTTACAAGGTTCCAAGCGTTAGAGCTTTGAATACAAGGAACGATTTTAAAGACAGGTCCCTTAGAATTTTCCGTTTTGAAATTTGTCTTATCCGCTAAGTAACGCTTTTGATATTTCAGTTAGATCTTTCCACAACTGAAGCAGGAATACTGTGAATACAGTATTACTGATAATAAACTGTGAAGCGGCTTATCAGAACTCGAAAGATTACCGTTAAATCACGCAAATCTCAGTAATGGGTTTCTAATATTTTAATCGACTTAAAAATATCAGACTTAAAGGCAGGAAAAAGAGAGGAGAGTAGATAATGTAGTCCTCAATATTTCATTCTACGTTAAAAACTCTAAATTTAACATTACCAAAGTCTTGTGTAAATTTTCTCCAGCCATTTTCATTGTGAAAAAAACCGTCTAAAATGTTTATTTTTCAAGTCGTTGTTAAACTCAGAATGTAGTATATAGATTGACTCAAATTTTAGCTGCAGTGGTATTTAGAAACGTGCCTAAAACGTATAAACATAATCTCGTGTGGGAGTCTAATATATCATCTTTCGTTGTCGGTCGTTAAGACAAAACTGTTGATGATAAATTGAGGAAAGCAATCCTGTTGAAAGGATTAATTGATTTGGGATATACCTGTTTGTTATTCTGGGATAATGACGTCTGGAACGTCGTTTATCTTTTAAAGTGTTTCTACTATTTGATTATGAAAAATATCATTAAGGTTTTTTATTCACATCCTGTGTATATCCTAAAACTAGCTTTTTCCGTCTTCATGCAGATAAAAGTATTTAGCAATTAATACAAATTGAACAATAAAGTGCCCGGAACTGATACTAGATGGAAAATGTGAACATTTAGACCGTCTTTAAGCGTTTTTTGTTCAATTTTGTAATATTGGGCAAACAGTTAGAGAATGTTCGACTAAGCCGTAGATGGGTACTTTGCGCGTTAACAAAGTGAGTTTATCATGTACTTTGGGAAAATGGTGTTTGCTCACATTCAAATTCCAATTTTTAAGCTTAGTTTTTAAATCGTCATTTTTTACTCTATACTTCGCTGCCGCAGTCTGCATTCAGTTCGTTATTGGTTGTTGCTGCTGTGGGCGGAGTCTCGGGATTCGAACACCAGAAACGTTTATGCCTTTGAGCCAGAATATTGTTGACTCATTCGATTTCCTTCCGATTTTAAGGAAATGAATTACGTGTTTTGTTAATATCTGTTACTTGACCACGTAAATTACTTAATCCTACTGATACAGATTTACATATGAGTAAATTTCGTTTGCATTTCTCCTTGTTTGAACCGACCAACGCAAGTCCGTTTTAATTTTTGTGAGTTATTTATGCCCTGACTTTGCATTGATCAACCCAGAATTAGAGTTTGTTTCAGGGTTCGATCTGTAAGTTAGCATTGTCCTTAATCTTATTCATGAAGTTACTTTTTCTGCTTGCCGATATTTTGGTCGCGATGCATGATAATCTCGATCTATCTGAATCAGTCAAGTATGTGCACCTTGAAATAAAACATGCTTATAAAACATAAATGATGCGTCAATCTATTCGTAAACCTACAGGAATGCGAGCTGAACGTTAGGTCTATATTTTCTTTTTTATCCATTTTTTCTTTCAAAAGAATACTAAGTCCCAAAAGAAATGAGCCCTACCAATAAAAATAAGACATTGAAGTGAGAGTGTGTCTTGGGGGTTGGGGATGAGCACTGCACGCACGCGTCTAGTTTGGCGCCAGAAGTTCCCGCCAAAACCAAAAGAACTCCTTCAGTTTGAGCTATGGAAAGAGCTCTTTATTGGCACAGGAATCTTATACATTTTCAACGTATATTATTAAAAGTTATAAACAAAATTAAACTTGATCGATCATGACTTCCTCAGGCCACTGAAACCACAAAAAACTCTCGTGTGTTTCGAAGAGATAGTTGAGATATAAAAATGATTTTAAGGAAATAGTACTTATCTCGAATTGTTTATTTGCTCTTCTTTTTAAACCATTAGCACACAGCAAGTGAGAAAAAGATAAGCATCGCAAATCTATTGGTTTTGGGCATTTATAATCAAGGAGTAAACTCGTTTCTCGACGCACTCACGCGGCGCCATCTTTTCCCACATTCCAACCGCACTAGTTATTATTTAAAGCGTTTCATGTTCCATGGTTTCTTAAAGATAAAACTAGGATATATACACACCCACACTAGGGTATATCCACGGCCTCTGGCAGGATGTTTTTGGAGTTCGGCACGTTGAAAACGGCCAGTGATCTGGGAGGTTCATATATAGATATCTGGAGCCTTGATTCTGAGGAAGTTATCTGGGATTTCGAAATACTTATAATTGCATGACTAAACGTACCCTGCGAGCAGAGGTTTTTATTCTGACCCTCCTTGGAGCTGGCTGTCGACAGCCCCGACGGCCCCGACAGCCTCGACAGCCTCGACAGCCAGCTCCAAGGAGGGTCAGAAAAAAAACCTCTGCTCGCAGGGTAGACTAAACGGCCATGCATTGAATAACTTTGGCAAAGAGTTTTTGTTAGTGCTTCTTGATAACATCTCATCTTGTAGTGTATCACGTGAATGAAGTGAAATCCGAAAAAATCTACATAATTCAATAATATTTTTATCTTATCAGTGTTTGTTTGTTTTTCTCGTTTTCATCCCTGTTTCTTCCCTCCTCTTTCCTTTGTTACTATATCTTGTCCAACCCGAAGTTTTAATCTTATTCTCATTATTAATAATTCATGAGCTCATCGACCAACCAGGGTTTTTTATTTGTACCACGTGCAGTAGTTTGAAACCCCCATTAAATACGAACGCACTCATTTCAAAGGTCTAGTACTCTGAAACATTTAAAAGTCCTACTACTCGGACTTTGAAATATTTCAAAGTACTAGAACTTTGAAATAAAAACAAACATAACAAAAAGAGTATAAGATGTGTCAAATACTCGTCACTGTATTCTATTGAGGTTTCAAAATCCTCGTGGAATTTCAAATTCCACTCGGATTTTGAAACCCCAATAGAATACAGCAACTCGTATTTGAAACATTACTTCATTTTTCAACCGATTCTGTAATAACGCCTGCAGCATTAAAGAGAATTCGACTCGCCCAAGCGACGGGCTTAGATGTTTAATGTTACTATATATGCCTTAGGTATTATGAGGGCTGTCATTGAATCCATTTTTTTACTGTTAAGAAGGCAAAACATTTAATGTTAATTATATCTATACCCTCCTAAATTGGTGTCAGCCCGACCTACTAACTTTATTTCAAAATCCTACCAAAATCATTTCAAATCCGTATTCCTGCCACACCTCTCTTTCCTCATCAATTAATTCCAATCGTAATTAACGGCTTCATTATACATTGGTAGTTATAACAAGATAGACGTTTTGTTTTTTGATTATGACTCATGCATACATGAGAAGCCCAAGCCTAAATAGAGTAATAAAAATAACATTTGTTCGAGTAGAGTCGAAACTTTCACTGGCGAGTACTTATTGGCTTTAATTCCCAAGCAATTTGAAGTGAATCTGATGACCATACACATATCGATAAATATTCTCTTTATATAAAAGATTTTTTCTATGATACCGTCCGTTTATTGGACGCAAAATGTCATTCAGCCTTGAGTATTTGTCGTGATTTGAGTCATAAAATGAGGAGTGAAAGATTTATCTATATAACCCTGACCAGACAGAGACAATATCTACATATTACAAGGGCACCGTCTTAGGGAGAATATTAATCACGTTTACTGAAGGCATCAATTAATCATTATTTTTTTCCCCAAACGCTTATTACTAAGCTAATGAGAAACTGCGTTAGAAAAACAAACTTCTGGCGAAATTTTGAGGAAAATAATGGTGATGTATAGGGTGGGTGCATGCGGAGGGTAAAATTTGCCAAGATTTCTCTTAGGAGGTTTTTATTGTCTGGAGAAAA